TGGCTCTGAAGCCCGAGAATTCTGACCTGAAAAGGGGTCTTGAATGAGGAGCCTCAAAGGGAATAAAGTATTAGCCTGTAAAACCAGCACTCACTAGAAAACTCAGGTGATCTTTTCATGTAGGTACACCTCTTGCCTCAGGCACAGCCAAGGCAATTACTTGCCACACAGCATCTCAACCTTAAGGGCTGATGTAACAGGCTCTACTTCCCTTTGTCCTGCTCACCGAGCACTGCTGGCAGTGGTACTTACCTCGTGGCCAAGCCACCAGCACAACCCAGCCGTTGGTCAGCATAGCCCATGCACACTGCTGTGCCATTAACCCTTCACACTGACCCAGCTCCTGCTGCCTGTCTGCCTGGCCACTGTCTTAGGAATAAATCCAGTGGTGAAAGAACTGACACCAGTGAGCAACACTCCTCACAAAACTTATCCCAAAAGCAGGAGAAGGTGGAGAGGAACGAAAGAAACCTTCATTTACCCAACTGGGAGTACAGCAATCCTCGAGAAGCAGGGACAGGACATCACAGGGATCCCATTTGCACAGGAACGTTGCTGAACCCTTTCCTGTTGCCAAGGTACGTGCGGGCAGAGGGGGGCGACCAGGGCACCACCACCTATTGTCATGCAAATGACACCGAGTTGTTGAAGAAACTTCCCAGCAACAGCACGCATTTTTTCACTGGTTTGATCCCAGCATTGAAAAGGAAACAAAACAACTGCAGGAACACGAAGCAGCTTTGGGCTCAGCCAGAAACTGCAGCTCTCCCAGAGCTATGGGAGCAGCAAACCTGCCTGTGGTGAATTCCGCCGGCCTGACTGCTCTGAATGGAACTGGGACGGGAAAGAAAGTGGCCCTGGAGTCCCGAGAAATGCGTGCACTGCTTTCTAACTACATTGTTTTTAACGGCCTGAAAGTTACACTGGAAACACTGCAAGAAAGTGACACACAAACCTTTGCTCAGAAAAAACAGAGTACGTTTCATTCACGTTTGGCTGGTTTGGATTAATTTGGATGGAATGATTTTGAGTTGGAAACCAAAAAGCCCAATGGCAGAAAATGCAACTGTAAACAGTTTAGAAGCTGCTTTCCAGCAAAGGCAGGAGTGTATACTTGCAGCTGCACATTTATGAATCCAAATACTTTCTGGCCTTTCCTGATGGTTACTACTATAGCTTGGTTGGCATTTTTCCCCCCTTTTCAGGTAGAGAAATTAATAGTTTCCAGCAGTGGTAACAACTTATCAGCAAAACAACTGGTTTTAAATTTCCTCACTTGAAATAAACTAGAAGTTTCTTATTTTTCACAAAAGTACCTGTAAACAGGAACTATTGATCAGAAAATTCAGAGGTAAAAGATGGTTGTTTATTTGCCTACACAAGGGAGCCAGTCACACACCACAAAAGCCTTCAAAATGACAGATGCTGAGCACTTGTGCCCTCTGGACATGCCCGAATCAAAGTCTTCCCTTAAAATCCCTCTCAGGGTTAATCTTTCCCATACTCAAAGTTTCCCAAAATGAAGGTGGAAACTGAGTGGCACCAATCCCCTACTGATCTAACCAGAGGAATAAACGCCTCACATTTTTGCACTTAGGACTCCAGGATGAACTGCAGAAGTGAAGAAAACATCACATTTTATTCAAACATTTGCATCCTGCCCTAGCTGACTCCAGTCAGGGTAAGCTAAACTCCCTTCATCTAACTGGGTGGAAGAAAATTGGCTTGACCGATTTGCAAAATAAAAAAAAGGGAGGGGTGGAAACTTTTTTAACAGGAGCTCAGGCTCAGAGCTAGAAGTATCAGGACAGTCAAGAGCACAGAAACTTGGGGTGGGGGGAGGGGAGATGATGCACACCAAGAGGAGAGGGAAGACCTTCACGTTGCCAAGAAAAAAAAAAACATTGATTAGGAAGACGAGGAATCTGCATGGAAAAAACAACCTATAACCCAAAGAAAGCCCTCATCCCATCTCCCTCTGCCACGTGCAATGGAAAATTTGATGCTTCAGACCTGAAGGAAACCAGCTGCTTCTTTACCACCCTCAGCAACCCAGGAGGGACTGCAAGAACCACCATCAATCTTCCTAAAACCCCCAGACAAACCTTCCCGGGGAATGGCAGACAGCCCTGCCTACCCGGGGCTCTGCAAGAGAAGGTGCCTCAGCAGCCAGCCCTCAAAACTGGCTGCTCACAAGCCTCTGCCGTGCACCCCACTGCCCTGGAAGAGCTGCAGAGCTGGCAAGGACTGAAACCCAGCAAGGAGGCTCTTGTGAGCCAAACTGGCCGCTGAACAAGCCTGGTGTGGGGCAGCAAAGCAGCGTGGGCACACGGCTGCCGGGGGGCCTCAGGGTACCGCGGGTGGCTGTGCAGAGCCCTGTGGCTGCACCTCTCTGAAGGGGGAAGGGCAGATCTGCTGTGCCAGAGGGACCAAGAGCTGGAAGTGAGGGAGGCTGTGAGACCCCTTCTGATGTGTGCCCTGGCACAATGCAGGAAAAAGCTCACTGACACAGAGAAAAAACAATCATCACTCGGATTCGTACCTGCTGGGAGAGCAAAACACACTGCAGGAGGAAAAGGCAACACTGGCAGTTCAGAAAAGGCTGCTGGGAACAAGGCAGAAACAGGAACATGCTCCTGAAGGTGAAGTCAAGGTAGAAGAAATCATAAAGATGAGATACTGATGGGAAAAAAGAACAAGGGCAGTGGGGCCCAAAGCCCCCAGAACATCCCAGACTGCTGGGGAGAAGGAAGCCAGGATGGGGGCTGGAGATACCCATGGGGCAGAGACAGTTTGTGCTGATTCACAAAAAAGAATTAATTTGGGGCAACTATTTGTAGATCTGGATTTGTTCCCCCCAACACATCTCTCCAGCCAAGGGAAGTTCTATTACCTTTACCCAGAGCAGCAGGAAGGACCCCACCAAGGCAGCCACGTGCTGTATAGTGCCCAGGCAGCTGGATCACAAGTCCTGAGCTGCCTGGGGCAGTGCTGGCACTTGGCTAACAGGGTAGGAGACTTGGGAAACTAATGGAAAGAGCCCCACCCCTACCCAGGCACAGCCCTGTGCCACAGCCCCAAACAGTAACCTTACCTGGTGAGTCCACAGCACCATGCTCCTCCCAGTTCTACACTCATCCCTCTGTTCAGACACATGGTGCAGCACTGCACCCTCCAAACACGCTGCTCAGCACCATGCTCTGTAGGGGTGTGCTCCCCAGGAAGGATCTAGCCCTGCCAGAGCCTCAGCTCCACTGTGCCCACAGCTGGCCCTGTGGCAGACAGGCTGCTGAGCTGCCAACCCGTGTGACAGATTCCACTGATGGAGAGTAACCAGATCAATCCCAGTGACAATCCTAATGAGGACAGACAACTTGCTTAAGCCAGCCTGGATCACTTACAGGAAGCACAGAACCTTCAGTAACCCAAGCAGTAGTAATCTTTGTGCATTACAGTACTGCCACACCACCCCCCTTCTTCGACGAGACCCTGCCAAATTCCAGGGGCAGTAAATAGTGTTCCATGCTCTTCCTCTAGCCTGAAGAGTACCTTCAACACCTGGACCTGATCTGACTGCAAGGCAAGGATCTGTCCCAACACCAAACCACTGTACCAGCTGGCACCATGCGTGTAGCAGTGCCACAGTTCTGAATAAATCATGTTAGCTACCTCAGACATTAGCCTTGACACTTGATCTCTAGGTGGCACTACTGGCACCCAGTAACTTCTAAAACCAGTGATGTTTCAAAGTGCCATCTGCTGGTACCTTCATTATTTACAGACACTGTCAGAACAACCAGCAGTGAGACAGTGCCCAAGTACTTTTCAGCTGGCAATACAGAAAACACACAGCAGCTTTTCTGGGTTGGTTGTCTTTTTGTTGGTTTTTTGATGCAATAAAAGTGGTTTATTGCATCTACATCCCAGAACACTTAATTATTGTGAGAGCCTGGCAAGTAATCACCAGAAGCCTTCAGAAACAAAACCAAATATTTTGACAGCATATAGAGGCTGGTAATTTAACCTTTAAGACAAACCAGGCAGCAGCACTTACAGAGTGCAGCTGGAATGCATGGCTTTTCTTTTAAAACTCTTAATCACAACTCTGTATTTAGCTCCAAAAATCAGGGCAGAGGAAATCCTGTCTTTCTGCAAAATTAAATCAAAAAGTTACCAGGTGTCATTCATTATGATCTAGAAAGGAAATACTGAACTTCATAAAAATGCTAGGGCTTATTTAAATTTACTTAACTTCTTAATATAGCAAAAGTTAAACAATGCATCAAGTCTTAGAAGCAATGGTCACAACAGCTCAGAACTCCACTTACAATTTTTTCCTAAAAGCCAAAAAAGCTGTCAGTCTGTTCTCTACACTTCTCCAGAGAAAATTTGAATCCTAAGGGCAGTTAGAACCTGGAGGCACAAACTCAGCAATAGTGGCTATACAACAGCTACTGCCCTCTGGGTTTAGGAAAAACTACCTCAGTAAAGATGTAACATCTGAGGAGAGCTAAACTGTCTTCTGTATATACCCAAATCTCAAGGATTATTCTTAAAATTACTTAAAAATGATAGCAACAGTTACTGTCAGGAACCATCTGAAATCTGCTTAAGCTTTCTACCCAAGGAACAGATGCATGTTACCTGCAATGAATTAATCAACCTCTCCAACTGTTTGCCTTTCTCCACCCCCCTCCTCCATTTTCTAAATTTCAAATTCTTCCTCCCCAGTTCTTCCTGCAGAACAGAGGTATAGCCCCACATGAATAAAGTACACTTGCTGTGAATAGCTAAGTCACTTCACTAAACTACCACATAAACCCCCCCAAGTTTAAGCAGACAAACCATACAGCTAGGCTAGAACAGCAACAGGCTTGATACTGTAGGACAGCACTATAGAAACAATGACCACGTGTCTGCTCCATCCTGAAAACTTCCCATTTACATCCAGCTTCCCAAAACAAACAAGTTCCTAAGACACCAACCACTCAGAGGCAACACAAACTCAGTCAAATGAACATTTATTCTTTCAGTAAGCCAAAGCCAGCTCTTATGCGACCAGGGCAGAAGCTGTCGATGATTCACTAAAAACAGAGAAGACAAAGAGAAAGGTATTAATTGCAGAGGCAGTTTTTCAAACAAGTTGTCAAAAACACTGCTTCAGTTCAAAGCTTTAACTACTACTCCTGAGCTAAATCATCACCTCTTTGAATATGGCACAAAGATTTCACTCTTCATTTTGAAATACAAGTGCTAGGAGAGCAGCACAAAACTGTATATTCAAATACCTGGCTAGCTGCACTTGGGCCTTCTCAGAAAAAAATTACAAACTAACCCTAATATCTACTGGAATTCTGTGCTGGCTAAATTTTCCTAGCGAAAAATGACAAATTGCTTGCACTTTTGCCACAGCTACTAAGTCACTTCTCAAAAACATTTGAGAGTAACATGAGCTATGAAAGTAACCAAGAACAAAGACTGCAGTTTGTAAGTAATTTCTGTAACACTTCATACTAGATACAGACTTAATTTGTTGAGACAATGATTTTTTTCTAAGCCTTGTGACAGTCATTCTACCCAGCACTAAGTTTAATTCATCTATCAGTTAACACTGATGCAGATACCTGGTCTGGTACCTGGTTTAGGTACCTGCCTGATCAGAACACACTCTCTGCCTGCTGAGTAACAGCCCCAGCATTCTGTCCACAGGCCCTGCAAGACTTCAGTGCAAGTAGTAACCCAAGAGAAGACTTACTACTTCCAGTTGGGTGGCAGCACTCTCTTGGTTTTGTAGTAGCGAGCCAGCCTGTGGATTCTGCTCTCAATCAGGATCAGGCGGAACTTGGCGTCTTTGTCCTTGAGGAGAAAGTGATGTCACAAGCAGGCACAGCTACCTGCACTTCCCACTGAGGTGCAACTCAATTAGCTTTAATGGAGCAAAACCCCCACAGCTACTGCTACAAACTCCACATTCCCATTACTGAAGTCAGTAAACCCAGAACAGACCCTGAAATACGGAGATTAAACGCTTTTAAGGTTCTTTTCACAGACAACCACTCTCCCTCACCAAGGTGCCTCCCCAAGGCCCTCAGCTTACTCAGAGGGTGACCAAGTACACTACAAGCCTTACAGCAACTTATTAACAACTGGACAGAGTACTTGAAAAAAAGAAGCACAGAGAGTCAACAGCTCCACCTCGTACTAACCTTTCTGTTTCTCTCCAGGTGCTTGCGAACAGCAACAGCTTTCTTAATCAAGTGATACAGATCCTCTGGAAGGTCTGGCGCCAGTCCCTTCGATTTAAGGATTCTCAAAATTTTGTTGCCAGTTACAAAGCGAACCTGGGCAACACCATGGGAATCCCTCAGGATCACACCTGAAACAGACATTTACACTGCACACTGAAAAGAAGCCAACCTTACAGTTACAAGATACTCAAAAAAGGTGTTCTCTAAGTTAAAAACCTTTCTGGTAGAAACTTCAAACAAATGGTACAGAACAAGTGAGCAAATAGAACTTACAGAAAGCACTTAACTAACCCACCCACCACAGTTAGGCAGTGCTCAAATATTGTCTGGAAATTCTCAACAGGACTCACTAAAGCTAGGCAGACAATAACCCTCCTCTCCACAGTTAACAAAGATGTTTTCCTCCAAGAAACTGGGCAGACTGAACTTCTCTCTCTCATCTGTTCGTGGCCATTCCTAAGGACAGGTTCTAAAATCAAACAGATGTTCACATGTTCTCCTTGGAAAAACAAACACTCAACTCCTTCATCCCATGTGCTTCTTGCAAGAATGAGCCAGGTGACATTTTTAGTGGTATCCACACAGATACATCAGTAAATGAGAAGCCCTGTATTTTCTCAGTACACTTTTTACCACAGACTAAAGGAACAATTTTATGTACATATACACACACACGTAACAATTATCAGCCATGAAGATGTGCTTTGTGCCCCTGGGGAGCCACTGAGCCTTACCGATCTGCGAGGGGGTCAGCCCCTTCTTGGCCAGCTTGTAGATCTGCTCCTTCACATCATCAGAAGTAAGTTTCAGCCACTAAAGACAATGGGAAAAAACACAAACCAACAGATGAACACTGCTCAATACAGAGGCAAAGGCTAGCTACACAAAAGCTTTTAGAAAATGGTAGAAATAGATGTTTTGTAATGCTTGGAAAAAAACACCAGGAAATGAAACTGTACTTCTAACAACAGAGAAACTTTTTTACATATTATGAATCTATAGTGCAGGTGAAATGCAGTGGCTGAAGGTAGAGGGGAAGGAAGAAAGCCTCTGGCTAAAACACCCCAGAGAGCCTCCAACCAGCTGCTTTATCACAAACTGCCACACCAGAAGCAGGAACACAGATTTACAGTGGAAAAAAGGAACTCTAACTGGGCCTTTGACAGAGCTAAAACTGAGAGCCACTGAGCCACCTCCCAGCAAAGCACTTACAGAGGTCAGCATCAGATTTTAAGTACAAAAATGAAACAAATGGATTGAGCATCACAAACATTACTACAGTGTTTAACCATCAGCAGTACCTCAAGCAGCTTCGCATTATTTTACTTTAAATTATCTCTCTTTATTTTTATATTTTCTGTTTTAATTCCACGTTTACATTTAACTCTTTTCCCACATGCACCACAAATTTATCTTCCTGTCAACAGATGCTCCAAGGTCCAGCCTTGCCAGGCACGGCAGCTGCAGTGGCTGCTCAGGCAGCCGGCAGGGGAGCCCTGCAGGAGGAAGCTGTCTCCACCAACTAAAGGCACGCTCAAATTGGGTAAATTAGTGCTCTGATCAGAGAATTATTTTTGTAAACAGTATCGAAAACAGTCGTTTTATTTCACAGTGGCAAAGGCCAAACTTGAGCGTGAATAACTGAACCTCTAGGAATTATCAGCATACAACCTGGTCGACTAATTGAAGCAGCACTTAAATAAAGGGAGGTACAAAAGGGAAAGGAGACTTTTTTGGCCAACACGTCATCTGGCCAGGCAACAGTAAATGCTTCCTCAATACTCTAAAAACCACGGGCTACCACAGCATTAAATCAGGTCATCTTTTAAGAACGATGGCACAAAACATCACAGCCCTCTCCCTTTCAT